AAAAAAAAAAAAAAAGAATTAATGCAAACTGAGTGTGATGGCACATACCTGTAACCCTAGCACCCTGGAGGTTGGAGTAGGAGGATCAAAAGTTAAAGTCAGCCTGGGCAATTTAGTGACTTAGAGAGATCCTGTGTCAAAATAAAAAGAGCCTTGTAGCTCATTGTGAAGACCCTGAATTTAACCTCCAATACAAAGAAAATAAAATTACTCAGAAAATTGTTTTCATAAAGAAACAAAACATGTCAGAATCAGAATCTTGAAGCCCACATTAAAACAAACTCTGTCTTTTGCAGAACAAACAGATGACCCTCAGTGTCAGGGATTTGCCCGAAATTGCTGAACTTGTTAGCAGCAGAACAAGATTTGAGTCCAAGGTGCCTGTTGCTCAGTCTTTGCTCTTCTTTAAGCTCCCTAAGTTGGAATCTTACTACTAGAACCCTTATTTAGGGATTCTAGGCATCAAAGTACAAGACTTTGTCTTTATAAAACAATTTGTTTTTCCAGGTAGAGAAGAAAAAACGAAAGAAAAAGGTCAGAAAAAATAGAAAATTTTGTTCACTATAAAACATAAATTACCACTTCCATTTATTCATTGCTTACTGTAAACCAGGCCTGTGCTCCATAAGGCTGGGGTCCTGGAAACCAGGTGTAAGGTTTTTCACCTGATCTTTCTAAGTCATTAAATTACCCAGGCTGGCTACCACTTGCAGTCCTCCTGCCTCAGTTTCTCCAAGTGCTAGGATTATGGGTCTTTGCTACATGCTCGATTTTCTTCAAACATAAATCAGTTTCTCAACAATCTCTTGTAGCCACAGCTCCTAGAGAAGTGGAGTGGGGTGCACCAAGACAGGAAGCCAAGGTCACCCAGACGCAGGATCTGCTGTGTTGGCCTGGGGTCCTTTCCATCTTGGATGCAAGGAAGGTGAGAGTGGCATACAGCACTCAAGGGAGACTGAGGCAGGCATCAAGGGCAGGAGTCACCAGGGCAGACCCAAGAGAGTAAAGAGCTGAAGTTGGAAAGAGGTTGCTAAATACCAGTTTTAGCAGCTCAGTAGCTTTTCCTTGCTTGCTACTACTGACTTTTTCCTCTTCTTTTTTTTTTTTTTTCTTTTTCTTTTTTTCTTTCTTTCTTTTCCCTCAGTGGGCTCCATAGTACCTCAAGGAGCCACAGGAGACTCCCTGAAGTACATGAATTTCATGTTCTTAAACACAGTGCTCTTTTGGCATATGTTATATCTGCTACAAACTTCTAGCTGCAAGTTAGCCACACTTTCAACATTATATCAGGCTACATTCCTTTGGATAATGTCTCATTTCATGGAACAAGCAATGGCTGTATTTCTAAAAAAAAAAAAAAAAAAAAAATCAAGTCCTACAAAAAGTAATGAGGAACAGGAAGTGAGGGTGGAAGTTTTTTAAGTGAGTTCAAGGTTTGTGCCCCCGCTGAATGTTTTGTGTGCAACCACAATCTTTCCCAGCTGGATCCAGCACTCTGGTATAAATCTTTCCTCACTGAGAATACAAACAAAAGATGAAGTGAGCTCCTGTTGCCTAAATCTGGGAGGTGTCTGTCCAGGAGTGTGGTCCCGGGGCAAGGGATGGTATGTGAACGTCCTCTCCCTGCGTGTCCTGTACCCTCTTCCCAGTGCTCTAGGAAGAGGAAAGAACAGGAAAAGAACAGTGCTTCTCAGACATGATGGGTTGATAGCGCCTTGAGCTCATGGTTTGGCTTTATTTATAAAGCACTACAATTTTTACAGAATACCATGTAATGGGGAAGGAAGATGGGCAATAGAAGCTATCACTGATATAACGACAGCTAAAATATAACCACAGCTAATGGTTATGGGTGATTACTATGTGCCAGCCATATTTTTTATATATTTTAACTCGTTTATGACTTTTTCTTCCAGTATCAGGGATCAAACTCAGGACCTTGTGCTTGGGAGGCAGGCGCTTGTGCCACTGAGCTATCTGCCCGATTGCATATATTAACTCATTTAATCCAAGGTCAAGACTCATATTTCCATACTACAGTTGAGGAAAGACACATAGAAAGGTTATGTAACCCACTCACCCCACTTTTTCAGATAGTAGCAAACCCAGGACTCAAAAGGAGAGTCTGTTTTCCCAGTCTAGATCCTTAATCAAAATGCTGTTCTTCTTTCTGCTTTAGTAAAACTTTGTGGAGGAGAACCTTAACTTTGAGCTAATTTGATGCATTAAATATTTCCATTTTCCTTTCTGTGACAAAGTAATGATTCTTCATAGGAAAGGAAGCTTATCATTTAATAAAATTGTATTAGGTCTATGGAGAGTAGATAAATAATAATGCAATCATTTAATTTCAATTGTCATAGGGCTAAAAGGCAAAATAGAGTTTGTGTGGCTACCATGGGGTCTTCATCCAACACAGCAGGGAGAGGCCCTTCAACAAAATGTCACACAAATGTTTTGGACCCTGTCTTAGTCACTCTTCTCTCCTTGCTGGGACAAATATTCCACACCCAAAACGAAGGAAGGAAAGGTTTATTTAGCTCACAGTTAGTGGAGGTTTCAGT